GGCATGGCGTGGTGTTGCCGATAGGTTACACGGGCACGTTGTGCTGTACAGTGGAGCAGAGGTGCCCAGGTCCGCTGTCAGTGCTGCCGAGGAATCGTTTGGTGCTCGGATGCCGGGGGTAGCTGGTGCCCTGACTGGGCGTTACTGGGCCAGCTGGATGTTACAAGGCGCTCTGCCCAGCCAAACGCGGGTATTGCTGATGTCCTTGAGGAGGCGTTCAAGGAATCCAGTGTACAAGCAGAATGTAGTGGCTGTAAGACTATTATTCATAAGCTTTGTAGAAGCATCCTTGCAAGTTAATGTAAGAAGTCTTCATTCTGAGCTCTCCTCCTGGCAGGCTGCAGAAGATGTCAATGTTACTTTTGAAGATCAACAGAAAATTAACAAGTTCGCAAGAAATACTAGCAGGATCACAGAGTTAAAAGAAGAAATAGAAGTGAAAAAGGTATATTTGCTTCAAATATCCCATATTCTTCATTGCTCTGAATTAATTTTCAGCTGTAACAGAGAAAAGGGGGCTGTGGATTACTGTAAGTAATGTTTTGATTCTAGTAAGGGTTTTCTAATATTGTGAAAATAGCCAGAGAACGTTGAAATGGAAAAAGAAGTCATGAGAAATAAAGGCTGTACGTATTTTTTTGCATGCAGTTCTTAGAACTGCTTAGTTGTCAGATGTGAAGCATTGTCTATATATAATGGCTGTTTGTCATGTTCTTACAATTTTCTGTCTGAGATTGTTGATATTTATTGTTCTTCAATCAGTAAAGCAATTGTTTATTTATACTATTTCTGTGATGTTCTGGGAAAGAATGTTATGAGTGCATTGGTTTTCTTTTGCTAGGCTGAAGAGGATAAATCATTCAAATTTTCTTTTAGTATTATTTCACAGTCCTACATCTTTCCAAAGGAGTTTTACCGAGTTTTTAAAAAATGCTGGTACTGACACAGAATGTGTTCTATAATTGCTTTGTGTGATATGTATATTGTAAAAATGTTGCCTTTTTATATTGACGTTCCATTGATGGCTTAAGATGCTGAGACTCTAAGCAGTCCTACTTTGGCAATAAAGTAATTAACCTTTGCCATCTTATTTATTATTTTTTTTCTGTTCTCCAGCTAAATAAAAAAATTTCTGTGTGGGATCATAACACCTATTAGTGAAATTTTAAATCTGCTGTCTAGACAGTTAATTATCCTATTAATAACAGATAATGAGTATTTACTAGGAATTTCAGCTCTGTTGAATTTAATACTTCTGCTAAATTACAGCTCTGGAACTATTCTATTAAATATGTTGATAACATGCTAGTGAGTAGGAATTTTGCCCAAAATGCAGACTCACTGAGTTTGTTATTCAGCTGATCGCATGAAAACATATCCATTGAAATAATTTACCTAGTACAAAGCTACCACCTTTCTTATGTCTTGATAAGTAGAAACAACTTCAGAATTTGGAAGATGCCTGTGATGACATCATGATGCTTGATGATGATGATTCCCTGCTGATTCCCTACCAAATTGGAGATGTCTTCATCAGTCATTCCCAAGAAGAGACACAAGAGATGCTGGAGGAGGCAAAGGTTTGTCTGGGCAAAAGGGAGCTCCTTTACTGTACTAGTTGCTGCAGAGTGATGAGCGTTGAAGTGGGATGATCTGTGTGTCCTTTGAAGTTTTTACTCGGACTTTCATGTTTGATTTATGATTTGAGGAGGAGGATGAACATGCACTATAACTGAGATGTCAGTATACGAAGTCATGCTCACTTTTGGGCCCTGTAATAAGTCTTACGCCCTGACTTGGCAGCAAGTTGGCAAAGGGATACCTCATTATTGTTTATATGTTGCTGACAAACGTGACTCAGTTTGTTTTACGTAACTGGTGGATTTTTTTTTTTCTTTTTCAGAAAAGTTTACAAGAAGAAATTGAAGTGTTAGAATCCCGAGTGGAATCAATTCAGAGGGTGTTATCTGACCTGAAAGTTCAGCTCTATGCAAAGTTTGGAAATAACATAAATCTTGAGGCTGAGGACAGTTAAAGGTGTTCTAAATATATTCTACAGCTTTTTCTTGTTTTATTAAATGTTTTGATAACATTGCTCCAATTACATTAAAAAAAACCCACACTTTTTTTTTTACTTTCCTGTCTTTGGTTCCATCTATTTAATGAGAGCTTTCTTATTTTGGTTATTGCAGTTATTTATTTGTTCAGGAAAGCATTAGCTTCATACTGTTGGTAAAGCATCAAGATTGAAATATTTGTATTGTTTATTAAAATAATAAAGTCAGGCACATATTGTAGTTTTTCTTGGTCTTGTTTTCTGACTTGTGAAAATACTTAAGTACAGGAGCCATAGAAATGGGGAATATTTTCTTTGCTCTGTAGTGGCTGTTTGATAAAAGTTCCTGTGTAATATGTATGGCATGATTCAGCTGTAGTGGTGTTTTGCTGATTTTAGCAGCCCTTCTGGAAATACTAAATCTATCCTTTGTTTTTCAGTCTTAGCTCAGATAGAATAAACAGTTAGCTCAGTGCACAATGTGGGAACAAGTTGTCAGTGGAGAAAGGAGGTCTCTTTAAAGCTCACACTGGTTTTGAAGAAAAGCTTTTGGAGTCACAGTCATATTCAGTCATTTACTACTTTGTATCTGGGAATCACAAAAGATCCTGTAAGACAGAAGGGTGACTAACTTCTAATTTTCCTGAACAATCATGTTCTAAATCTGCATTTACATAGCAAATTAATGCCAGAATTGTTCATAGGTGATGTTGCTGTGTCATTATCAACCTCTGGAACTACACTTCCATTACTAGCTGGAGTTGAATGTATTTTTTCAAAGTGTTATTTGCTGCTAAACATCAGCAAACTAAGGTTTAGCATAACCATAAGAGAAGACTCTCTTTGACAATGAAGATCGAGTATCTCTACACAAGCATTTGTGTTAAATACAGAGCATGTCAACCAATGGCTGAAAGTGTCAAAAGCTGGGCTGATGTTCTGTGTGTTCCTGGCATTTTCCTTGTTTTTTTTTTTTCAGTAGAATTCCAATGGTTTGTGTCCTTCTGCTGCTGGACATGTGTACAAATACCTTGGCTATAACTGTACAGAATTTTAAGCTTGCTTTCTAAGTGGTGGTGGTCGTGATTCGAGCCTGTGCTTCAGGAAAAGTTCAAGTTTTTCCTTACTGAATAAAGTGAATACTTTAGCTACCTTTAGGTTAAATGTGGGTATGGTAGCCATGGCAACGCTGCTCCCTTATCTGCCAGCCAGTGCTTGTAGCAAATCCCCTTCAGGGAGGTACAGGTAATCCTTAATGTAATTTGAACCCTCCCGACAGTTTTCTGAGTGGCAGGCATTTGACACTGAACTACTTATAACAATTCTGGGCCAACCCACAACTGCTTTTTTAGGTGCTAAAGAGAAAAGGTGGCCAGTTATTTGATAGCAGCTGGTGTGAGTATTGTGGGCTTGGGTGACTCAGTGCTGCCTTATCCTGCTTTATGAGATACAGCTCTTGCTCCAAAACTGCCTTGCTAGGTTCCAGTCTTAGAAGTGTTGGTACCTTAAGCTTTTTTCTAAACAGCCAAACTATTTGTTTGGTATGTTAAAGTAAACGGTCCAATGTACTTTCTTTGTAAACCAAAGAGTATGTGAAAGACTTCTTTTTCCAGGTGAAAACTGAGCTATTGATGGAGTTTGACCCATAATGAGAAGCATCCAGCAGATGGCATCAAGGAGCTGGGAAACCCACTTTATGGTAAGGCCGCACCTAGGCTGTGAGTGCACGCGCTGAATTTAGTTAAGTGAAAGTTTGGCTGCAGTGATCACAGTCTTGTTAATTGGTTGGTAACATTTAAAATTCATTCCTAAGTGACTGCTGTGCCAGCTCTGCTGTTCTGAGCATATTCACAGCTGTGCAGGCTGCAGGTATTTAAAATTATTGATTTCCACCTGGGCCATAGTGTGGATACGACTACGTTATGGAAAAGGCAGCAAGTGGGGTTTACCTGTGATTCCAGGGGCAGCTGTAAAGGCAATAAGGACCTTAGCTCAGTAAAGGACCCGGGGGGAGGATACTGGCAAGATGTGCAGAGCTTGCGTTATAGAGAGAAAGGTACGGTAGCATTGTCCATACATACAGCCCTGATGTTTAGGGGAAAGAAGATGGTTATAGTGCTCTTGTGAATGCCAAAGATCTTTCCTCATTGGTGTTGGATCTCAGCCCTTTGGGGTTTATTTTGTGACCCCACACCCTTATTTTCTTTTTTTTTTTTTGGTTTTCATGGTGTTGGTGTATTTTTAGGTCATTTCACTAGGCTTTCCTGCACTACTAGAGTTTAGGCTTTTATATATATGATACAATTTTCCTGTTTGCTTAGTCCTTCCTACAAATTCTGTGTCCATACAGCCTTGAAAATCTCAGGGCCTTTTTGTACATATAATGTCCGGTTTCCTTGTATGGGTTGTGTTTGCAAGTCAGGCAAATTATCCAACAAACTTTTTCAGATTAGTCTCTGGATTTTTGTAGTTTACAGAACTAATGTCCCAGGATATTGCTTGGTATTTTTATATGTGTAAAGTAGAATATGCGGGAAACTCTTTGTTCTTAAGTTGTCATTGTGGAGGTCAGTGTGCAGCTTGTCTGTCCATTGCTTGAAATTTTTTGACAGAGTCCATTTTTTTCCTTGTAATAGCCTTTCTTCTCTTTAGTGTATATATGCAGTTGTTCTTCAGTTGGCATTAATTCTATTTAAGCCTGCCATCTTCTAGTTACTTTTTATTTTTGGTAGAATGGAAATTTCTATTATTTCTAATAATGTTTGCCTTATGTTTACCTTGTTCAGATAAATATAAGTCCATGGGGGGAAAAAATAACTGGTCCTCAGTGCTTCTCTGTGCGTGTCATGAATCATTTAGCTGCACCTGATAATACACGTTTTTAATATTGTTGTCAGAATGCAAATCATTGACTGTTATTCTCTGTGTTGTCAAGGGAGTGGCATTTGCAAACCACTTGATAGATGGAATGTACTGTAAATGTGCTAAGTGGAGTTTTAATCTAAGGGCTCATTTAGAGTGTTGAACCAATGATCTCTTAGTGACTGAGTTAGCTCTTCAGCTCCATCTTTCTATTAAAATCTAGTTTCCGTACTGTTTATGTTTTGCAAGACATCGAGTTGCCGGTGGCTGGCTTTACGCTTGGTTGCAGCAATTACAGCAGGTAAAAAAGCAAAACGGCAGCAGTGAAATACAGCTCATTTCACTGCCTGATGTCAAGGAGACTGAACTTACCACTTCCTCAAAGCAGTCTGCCAAAAACTTTGTAAAACATAGTAGGACACAATTGTTATGCTTATTATATTTTTAGGGCTTGTTTATGGTTCTCTACCTTGTCAGCTAATTTAAAAATATTTTCCACATGAAGCGTAACCTTCTGCAGTGGAACCTTCATTATTGCTCATTGCTTTTGTAGAGAAGATCCTCAGACAGCATTACACCCCATAATATAAACGTGGTCGATAATTATTCGATGATTATAGGAAGTGGTGTGTAGCCGAAGTACAGATAAATTTGTGGTATTCACTGTCTTTTCAGAGAGCAAAAAGAGATTGAGTGCTGTGTACTAAAGCCATATTAGGAGCAACAGAATTAAGTAGTTCGGTTTGCATGAGTCAGTGGCTCACATAATTTATCTAATGTTATTCTAATAGACTGATTCATGGAAGAGGAAAAAAAATGTGGATAAATATAGGTATGATAAGGCCTGACAGAAATTATTTACAACCAGGTTTATCCTTAGGTTGATTGTATGAGTCACACAGAAAACCAAATTATTTTGTTATTAAATGTTAGCTGTTGATCAGAAGAACGCAGTGCACCAAACACAGACATAAACGGCTGTGAAGGATTTCCCTCAGCAAGAGATGAAACGGATTTACAGTAAACAGGGCCTGCATCTAGCTGTTAAAGAGAGGTAATAAAAAGTTATAAACCTTAGTACAACAAGTAGCACAAGTGAAGACAAATGTTGTTAGTGGATTTTTAGATTCTGTCAGGTTTTACCCCTTCCAGCACAGTGCAGAAGTCCATCATATCCTCATGGTTGGATGATTTGCTTGTTAACTGTAGCTAACAGGATTTGCATACCAGACTTATAGTGCTTTGGTAAAGTTATACTTTTTAAAAAAAATTATATTTACATTTGAAATGTCTACTGTGTATTGGGTATCAGGACAGAAATGTGTATTAAACTGGACTCTGATAAGGACTAGTCACTGACCTATAGCACGCAAGTATAAAAGATGACTGCCTCTGGGTACAAAACAGCAGTAAATCAACTTAGATAAAAATTATTAATCTCAGTGTACGTGGCTAAGGACTGATAGTAACTTTGCACCCAAGACTTTTCATTAGCACTTTGGGGGAAAATAATAAAACTTTCTGTTTCATTTCTGTTGTGAAAGCTCTTCTCTGCTTGCTTAATATTGCTATTGAAAGTGATTAGAGGGCACAAAGTACAAGTTTATAGTCAGCTCAGTGTTTGATACAGTAGCGGTCAGACTGCAACCAATTTCAAACACCTGGTATTTTACCTATATGATACTGTTGCTTTCTACTGTGGTAACCGCGTGTCTCTCAAATGAGACAGGAAACCTTCGTACTGCTTTTCATGCTCACCAACCAGTATTTTGCATTTCAGCCCTGTGTACTGTAAGTGACACTTTCACAAGACAATGGGCTGCTGAGTAAGCTGTATGTATTTATATGTTTGGTGACATCAGCACAATAATGTCGCATCAGGTTGACTTTTATTTATTGTCACTGGCTAGAACTTCTTGACACGTAATTTTATTGCCATTATATTTGACATGACAAACATCTAATAAAATTGCATTTCATATTAAAGTGGAGATGGAATATAAAGAAGACTCAACTGGTGCCTGTCGCTATGACAATATGCGCTAACTTTGTGATTAGCATAAGTATTATCTCAAGAATTTCCCAAGTTTCATGGCAAATATGAATAGCTTGCAAAGCTTTCCTTACACTAAACAGGACTTGTGGGAAAAAGATCACAGGCTCTTTCCCTCTGCTCCTTAAATGCTGGTTTCGGTTCCCTCTTCTGTCAAATGTGAAGTTCTTACTGATGTCAAAGTTGATGCAAAAGTTAGGAAATTTTTCAGAATAATTTGTCTGTAACCTGCTGTTTTCATTTATCCTTTGTACCACAACAGAGAATACAAAGCTTGCTTTTTTATTCTAGAGTAGATTTAATGTGTTGATAATGAACTGAGCTCC